ATGATGAATGTTTGAAGAGTTAAGCGTACCCTCATTTGAGCATGAGATAATGCAAGCCTGTATCAAAATATCACATGGCATGCCACAAATATCTCCAACCATGGTGTCATATTTAAAAATTAAGAGCACTGGGGAGATGGCTTAGCAGTTAAGAGCACTGCCTGCTCTTCCAGAGGACCCTGGTTCAGTTCCCAGCACCCATGTGGTGGCTCACAACATTCTGAAACTCTGCTCCCCAGGATCTGAGGTTCTCTTCTGACCTCCAAGGGCAGCGAGCGTGCATTCCATACACAATGCATGCAGGCAAAACACCTATATGCGTAGAATAAAAATTTAGAAGTAACAAGAGAAACACAGTTCCTTTTATCCATGATCTTACTTTCTGTGATGTCAGGTACTTATAACTGGTTATGCTCTGACAGGTAACTTTCAACTTGCACGTTTTCTGAGTAGGGCAGTGACATAGCACGCCTGCGGGTACAACTTGCCTGAGATGGGATACTTCTCATTGTCCAGTATCTAATGGTGCCTTGTAATGACTGGGATCTGGAACACTCAAATCAGATGCTGCTTCCTCCCCTATCAGTGGACTTGGAAAGGGGCAGGGAGGAGACCAGAGAGGGAGTGTGGGGTTGGGGAGGGAATGAGGGAGCGGGATACAGCTGGGACACAGAGTTAACAAAATGTAACTAATAAGAAAAATAAAATTAAAAAGAAAAAAAAAAGAAAAACTCCATAGGTGCCCAAGATGACAGAGCACCTGGACCCGTCCCTCACCTTACCTCCTGATGCTCATGTCTCATGACCCCACCTTATCACAAGAGCAAAAGTCAGCACAGGACACTAAGGTGGTTGCGAGGAGCCATACTCTCCTAACTTTCATTACAATATCCTGTAATTGTTCTATTTTGTTATTAGTTATTTTCGGTTCTTAATATGAGTGATGTATAAGTGAAGCCTTATCATAGATATGTCTGTACGGTAAAACACACACATAACTTAAGACTTAGTGTTGTGCATAGTCTGGACTAGCCATAGTGTCTTAGAACAAATCCATTGCCAAGGGAGTACTGCGTTCAACCTGCCGTTCCATTGTTCTCCTGTGCTTCCATTGTTTGAAAGAAATCCAAAGTTTCTCTCCCAAAGATATCTTTAACTCACTCTTCCATTTAATGAGTCAATGGAGACACAGACCCTCGTCTACACATGGACGTGCCCATCCATACCCTGCCCCAGCACCACCGTCCCTATTGTGGAAGAATTACTTGCTTCTTCTTAGCTGGAAAAATGTCTGTCTCCACATGACCTGGCTGCAGAATTCATCTCTACGTGGAGTATCAGGAAGGCTTACAATCTCATATTTCATAAGTAGAAACAGGAGTGTCTGTGTTCTCAGTCTCGAGTCCCAGTGAGTCTGTCCTGCGTCCTCGGAGATAAGCGCTGGAGCGTCAGTGCCGCTGTGGCAGGCTGGGAAGCCGGGACTCTCCACAGTGACACTGTGAGCATGGCAGTCTACACCGGAAACGACGCTTCATCTCCACCATTAACCAAATACACGACAAGTTGGCTTTGGCTGCTCAAGCCCTCTGTGTCCCGGTTGTGCAGTGGTGTGGCAACAATGGTTGAGCAAGATGGCGTTGAGAAGATTGTTCTGAGAGGTTTGGCTGCCTGAGAGCTCTTGGCCCACACTGTGAGTCCATGACTTCCAGGCAGGCTCCTAACAGCTGTGTTCCTGACAATACGACATTACTTTCCCCCAATGTTTCATCATTTCTGATTTTTCAAACACCTTGGAAATGCTACAAAGAAAATTAGCACTGGTATTCTCCTCCAGTGGATTCACTAGTGACTGAGGGCTTTGGTTTTGTTGCCTCTTGTCAAATAAATAAAAGTCATAAGGACACTTCATCCCTCAATATCTCAGCATGAGTCCCCTAAAAGATATTCTCTCACAGCCACATGACCGTGTCTACACTTGAGAAAATTAACAGTGACTCCGGATTCCCAACTAGTATCTGTCCTGTATTCAAAATTGTCCCTTTGTCTCAAAACTCTCTGTTACAGATCTTTTAGATCTTGCCTCCAGATCTAAGACAGAGGCAAAGTCTCCCGTGTGACATTTGGTTGGTATGTTTTTCAGAGTTTCTTTTCATCTAGAACAGTCTCCCTGCCTTTATTGATTTATTTATTTACTTCTGCTCTTTTAAGGAGTTGAGGCCAGTTGTCTTCTGTAATGTCTCGTTCACCGGATGTGTCTGATCATTTATTTATGCTCTTGCTCAGTTTGTTCCTCTATCCCTAGCGTCTGCTGTAAATTGGAAGTTAAGTCAGAAATTTCATGAGAGTCAACTTGAACATTCAGGCAAGCTTATTTCCAAAGCGAGACCATCAAATTAAAGATGTTCTTTCAACCACTCCTTGATTTTTCATGTCTCTGGCTTTCATAGTTTTCTGCCTTGTGCCCTTGCTCTCTGTGCTGTGAGCTCCTGAGTTTCATTATGGTGGATGGAGGAATGGTTCTGCCGTCTCCCCATGGCATCGGCTTTTCATGGACTTTTTCTTGGGCCTAAACCAAGAGACACAGCTCTGGAAAGGCAGCAGTTCAATGTGTCAAAAATAAAGTACTAAAAGGTGGCTTGGGTTATATCTCTGTGAACCCAAATGTATCTATCTGGATTGAGTTCCTACGAAATGACAAGTTGATTCTTCATAATGTCAGTAAAATAGGCAAAAACAAACAACCAACCATACTTCGTCTTTACAAACCCTGCTGTCATGACAATATTTGTCCTGTAAGTTGGGCCTCTGGAAGTTACCACTGTTGTGAAGGATGCATCCTCAAATAACTCATCTGGGATTCAAACAAAGCAAGGGAGCTGCTGTAATGACCACAGGCCTCTGTCCCATCGAGCTGTGTCGTGTAATGAGTCAAATTGATGCGCCCATCCATAACACATTTGTTCTGGAGTACCTGTTGCATAAAGCTTTCCTCACAGCCACATGCTGTTAAGTTCCAGGGGGACAAAGCAGAAAGCCCAGCTCTGGAGCTATTGCAGGGCAGTTACATGTGTTATCCAGAAATCAAAACAGCACGTAGGATTAGACAAGTACTTCTAAACAATGAGCAAACTGGAAAATGTCCCTGAAACTGGAAATAAACTCCCATCATTCCAGTACTTTAAAATCACAGGCGTGTTCCTTTCCAGTGGCTAATCATCCATTCGTTCAGCTGTCTGCCTCGACTTTGCAGGCTGCTGGGGAATGGCCCGGTATTCTCAAGGGATGCTAAAACAGCATCTGCATGTCTCGATGCCCCTTTGCTTTTTATCTCCGAGAGCTGCACAGTGCAGAGGTATAGCTATCAAAATGCCAGAGAGAGCATGCCCTGGTTGTAAAGTCTGGCACAGTGAGCAAATCAGAAGGGCCACACCCCATCTGCATGAAAGGCACACACCCAGGGACAGCCCCAGCCTCACTGCAGCCCTCCAGAGGTTCAGGACGCATGTTGTTATGACCCCAATCATGTGACATTTGTAATATTGTCGATGAAACCAAGACAGAATGGGATAATTAAAACTAACATCTCAGTGGACATTTATCAAACACAGTTGTGAAAATACATCACTAACCTATCCTGGGTTTTATCGGGTTTTTTTCTTTCTTATAAATTTAGCGTCCTGTGTTCCCTAAGTCAAAAACAGGGATGAATGGTCACTCAACCATTTCCAACCACTGAGGACGAGGTCACGTCCTGCCCTATCCCTACTTCAGGAAGCACAGGATGAGAAGGGTGAAGAGAGCTGCTGGCTGGGACGTGAGGGGGTCCGTGTGTTAGATGTGGACTCTTGACTGCAGCTAGCATTGAGTCTGAGTCCAGCAGGGAGTCAAAGAAGCTGGGAGTCCAACGTCACAGTGTGCACAGCACTGGTTCCTTCTGCGGCTGTGGGGAAGGATGGCTTCCAGGCCCTCAAACGGCCATCTTCTCCCTGGCCCTGCCCTCATCCTCCCTCTCTGTGTCCGCATCTTCCATCCAGCGCTCCTGACTTAGAATCTATCTAAATGGGATCGTTTTTACTCCCTTACCCCTGTAAAGACCCCATGTCAAAGTCATGATGCCTTCCAAGGAGTTCTGGGGCAGGACTTAAAAAATGCCTGGAACGACCCAGTGTGACCAATGCAGCCTGTAACCGGTGTCTTCTATCCATCTATGAAATTTCTCAGTATTGGCAAGGAATGGCTAGACGATGCATCAGAACACTGACTGTATGAAATGAATGAACTGCAGGTTCTTGATGGAGCTAAAATGACATCAGATCCTTATGCTTCCTTCTCTCCCAGGTGAAAAGTCAATGCTAAGCTTGCAAATACCTCGGACACCGGTACTAAGTACTAAGTACTGAGTACTGAGGTACTAAGCCCTCAGAGCTACATTGTATGCTGGTACATCTTTGGGAACCAGAATTTTTTAAGTGGATTGGGTTTACTATTCATTACCCAAATGCATTCTGTGTGAGCCCACTGGAGCAGAGGTCACCAACAGCTGAGCTAGCAACAGTATTTGCTTTTGCAGACACAGATACTCCATTGGGAAATGTGTTTCATCTCTTGCTGTGCTGTTTTGGAGCATTCGTCTGACATCCAGGAAACATGATCTAAAGCTTGTGTTTAGGGTGTTTGTAGGCCGTTCCCTACTCTCTGCAGTGGGGTGGCCCAAAACCAGGAGAGACACTTCCTTAGTTTTCAGTTCAAAGGACAGGACAGAGAAGAGAGAAAACAGAAAGCCAATAGCCTAAGTGTTCTCTGGGAGGAGCAAGAAGAGAGTGGGGGTGGGAGGCTTTCTGGGCAATGAGCCCTGTAGCATGGTTTTCGTCTCTGTTGGAAATGGTAGTTTGTGCTCTTGTATCTCAGGTTGGTCGCCGTCACTTTGTTAAGCCCGTATGAGGAGAGGCAAGCGAAGCCTGAGGAGTCTTCTCACACTTTTTCTTTGGTGTCTTGATCAGGTCACAGACATCAAGGAGAAACTGAAGCTCTCTAAAAAGGTCTGGTCGGCATTGCCTTATGCCATCTGCAAGGATGAGAGCGTGACAGCAGGCACGTCCAATGAGGAGGAGTGCTGGAACGGACACAGCAAAGCCAGGTGAGGCTGGGATGGGGGCGCGGCACAGTCAGCCCCTCGGGAATCCCCTGGCAGCACTGTGGGAAGCAGAGGAGAGTGGAGGGACTCAGAGACGCTGGGTGACAGCTGCTGGGAGTGACAGGTTGGATGGGCACATGCAAACACTTACTCTCAGGATTCCATTAAGCATGGAGTCCTTGCTCTGACAGTCTCGCCTGTGGATGAGATGGAGGGTGGTGACAGATGCCAGCTTCCAGACCGCCTGAGATCACAAGGAGCCCGTTATGTTCACTTAATGACTTTAAGATGATAAGATAGTTATTTTTATCCATAGTTCAGTCTGCAGGTCTCTTTTTTCTTTCTTTCTTTCTTTTTTTTTTTTTTTAATCACAAGTTAAACAAAAGAAAAAAGAAAATTCAACTGTAATATTTTCATCTTTGGAGAAAAAAAAAAAACCTACATACCATTCAATGAAAAGGTAGAAGAAAATGGCTAAGAGACAAAGGAGGAAGGGACGCAGAAGGTTCCATGTCTCCTGTGTCCCACTGAATCCTCCCAAGAGCTCTGTTTTTATCTTCCTGCTCTACTGACCAATGCTGTGGACATTAGAAAAAAATAAAAAATAAATCTGAACCTGCTCTTTCAGCTCAGTCTGGGCTGGCCCAAGCTTGCCGAGGGTGGAGAAGCTGGGCAGGAAAACAGGCTGGGAGCTGGCAGGCTGGGCAGGACATGAGGAGAGGAGCCTGCCAGGCCTGCATCAGTGGGGCTGCAGGTGGGTAAGGCAGCTGCTAAATCGGACTCAAGGAATCTCTGGGGACTGAGCAGCAGGTGGAGAAGCTAGGAGAGGCTTCTGCTTGGGAGGGTGAAACTGAGAAGCTTTAAAGGAAGGAAGTAGCCGTGTTCCAAGTGAGAAAGAAGGCACGTGAGAACCAAGACCAGAAGAATCTGCCAGAGGTAAGCAGAGGGCGTGGAGGGAGCCTTAGGTCCTCTTGCTTCGCTGCACTTTTAGCATCTGTTAGGCATGTGTTGTCAGTCTTGCAAGAAAGAGCCCAGCAGGTGAATTCAGGACAGCCGCGGAAAGATCCACAGCCAAGGTGCCCAAAATGTCCCTGTTCAAATCTAAGCTTGAGACTAGAGAGGGGAGCAGCATGCCACACACACAAGGCCTCTGCGTCCTGTGGAGGAGGAGACTTTCAGACAGAGAAAGTCAGCTGTGAATGAATACCTCCGACGAATCAGCTCCCAACGACCCTACAGAAACACACTGCCCATCTGAGCAGGTAACCTGAAGGACAGCTCAGCGGCAGGTGACCTTGAGAGGCAGCGCTGATGCCGGTGACTCTGACGGGCAGCTCTGCAGCTGACCGGTGTTTACCTCTCAGCCCTGACTGGAATCAAGGCTGTGTTGTGAACCTCATTCCCATGGACAATCACGTAGAATCCTGGATTCACGCATGTGATTTCTTACCAAAGGAAACATAAAGAGTGAGCAAGAGAAGGGGCTAAAATCTACCAAGACGTGAATAGAAATATAAAGACTTTGAAGGGAGAGCCACATGGAGGTGAGGGTGGCAAATCCAAGTTCTTCCTTGTGAGGTCACAGCACCTAGATGAGGAAGCTGGTACCCTGCTCCTGGCACCGAGGTAACAAGAAAATACTGGGGCTCTCCCCTCACTAATCCAGTATTCCTGTGCCTCTTAAACAAAAAAAAAAAAATCCTCTAAATATGCCCCTGTTCAAATTAAGAAATAAAATGAGATTTAATACTGTTCGATAGAAACATGTGGCATAAAATGGCAGAAATGTATTTAGGACCATTTGAGAAATTTTGGAAAGTTCTGTTGTAATTCCAAGCCAAGTTTCATATAATGGTTTTTGTGGGTGTGTGCAGCTCAAATAGCAGATTTTAAATATAAAAACTCTAACATAACACAATCTAAATATAAATGAATCTGATATTTACTGACAATAGGAAAATATTTAAAGGTCTTTGTTTTGTTTTTTAAGAATTTTTCAAATTTTTATGTATTTTTTCTGTTTGAGGTGATTTGTCTCCATGTATTTCTGTAGCTCCTGTCTGCAGTAGGCCTAGGAGGGTGTTGGGGGTCCTGTTGTTAGCTGCCATGTGACCTAGGAATTGAACCCAGAACCTCTGGGACGGCAGCCACTGTTCTTGACACCTGAGCCATCTCACCAGCTTTCAAGATTTGTTTCTATGATTAAGCTCCTGTGTTCCCGTAAGAGCGTAACTTCCGTGTGCGCAGGACTAACCCAGAGATTCATAACGCTCCTAGTTTTGACTAGGAGTCAAGGTGTTCCACGTAGCATGTTGTCATCAGGTGACCTGGGGGCGTCATAGCCAGTGCAAAGTGTTCATGCTACATGTTCAGAAGCAGGGATGCAGTGAGCTTGTGTGGTCCAGCACTGGTGACCCCTGCCGAGTGTTTGACTTGTCCCCCATTTGGTGACACAACTCTATGAGGTCATTTTTTATTACGTAATCCATGCATTATTTAAAAAGATGGGGTTGTCCAATATTTATGACTTGATTATGCCCCCCTTGAAAAACTGCAATCCCACGGTTCCTTTCATTTTCTCTTTAAAAGTCTTCTTCTGTAGGGGCATTACAGTTACAGCCTGGCACCTGCTCACTTGGTAATTAGAGAACAAATACAGACTCGTTGCATTAAATTCGACTGAACCTGTCTTCTTCTCCAAGTAGCAACTGATCTAGAATCACACGGAAAAAAAGTTTTTTTACTTGAACAAATTCTTCAGAAAGGCTTTGCAACTCAGAGAGTGCATTTGGTGAGAGAGGTTAATCAGTGAGTTACAAGCAGGGACAAACATGCTCTGGCGGGCTGTGCTGGAAGAGGACCGTACCCAGCCATTTCTCCCAACAAAAGCTGCAAGAAAGGATTTCGAATATGTTTACCACAGAGAAATGGTAACTGTTTAAGGAGTTATCAATCACTTACCCTGATTTGAGAATTACACAGGTATACATGTATCCAAATGTGACATGAGTCCCCCTAAGTTTGTACCATTTTAAATGTTGACCAGACCCATAATAATAACAACTAAGAATCCATATGAAATACAAAAACTGTTCTCCCACTTTCAAAGTAAGGGTTTGAAGATGGCAGACTTTTTAAAATATTTAGGATCAGTTGCAAAACAAAGATGAAGGAAAAAAAGGTTGTTCTTATCAGCTATGTGAAAATTTATTATTAAGGAAAAAATCTCTCTCAGCACAAGTTAACGGGTACAGAACACAGGCACTTGTTAGGACTGATAGGAGGTTGTGGGCCTGGAGTTTGTACAGCGAACCCGGAGCCCAATGTCTCTGATAAGCTGCTGCGTCTTCCTCTCTGTGATCTGCCCATCAGACTCCTTCAGCGACATCTTTCTGTTTGCACCTTTCTGTCTTATGTGTTTGATCAAACATGTCTTCTCACTTCCATTTTTCTCCCAATTATTTTTGGATTCTTACCCTGATTTCTTCATCATATTTCCTTGATCCAGAAATGTGCTGTTTTAGATTTTAATGTTTCTGAAATCAAAATGACTCCAAACTGGGCATGTCCATATAATGCAGTGATTCTCTTATTTTTCCAAAAGATTGGTTTATTATTAACCTAACAGCACCTGTTGAAATCAATGGTTGCCTGATGTGTGCACATACACCAGCTTTGCTGTAGCAGCCACATAGTTTGCTGCGTTGAGTGCATGTAAGGTCATGACACAGCCTTCATGCTGAAGGTCGTAATCAGACACTGGTGGGATCTTGATGATAGAAGAAGAAATGCCTTAAACCCTAGATCCTTGTTTAACACTTGAGTAGGTGAATTTTTCCATCTTCCCACTGTGTTATAACAAAGTAACAAAGATACAGAAGCTAAAACCACTGAACCTCACTTGATACTGTTCTGGGTACTAGAGCACCCGAGGTTAGGGTGCCAGCATGGCTGGTTGTAGATAAGGAGTCTCTTTCTTAATCACTTCCATGAGTTCCAACCTCCAAATCACCATCACATAGAGAAGCAGACATCTGAATGCTGAGTTCACAGCAGTTCATGCTCAGAAGCACACACCACTGGTCTACAGAGCAAATACAGAACGTTCTTCAGCATTCCTGTCAGTGTCTGTTGTTGCCTGAGAGAGGCAGCCCAGGACTCACCTCCAGTGAGCAGCAGCAGGAAGTGAGCTGCAGGTGGAACTTCTATACCTCTCATTATTCACTGACCTAACAACTTCTCAGAGGGCAATGGGAGAAGATAGAGGAACATTCTGACTCAACTCAGACAAATAGGGACTGAAAGGAAGTTAGTAAGTTACGGGGGGGAGGGAGGAAGAATCGATAATAATCTAGAAGGCCAAAGGGAGAAAAACTGAAGCCTCTTGGAGCAGGTTACAAATCTAGGCCTTCTAAGGGTCCCACGGTGAGCCTAGAGACCCCTGGAGGGCATGTGCAGCCATCAGTCACGCCGGAGGAGGACTTCTGGGCAACCTGTGACCAGAATGAGCTGTCTCTGCAGGAGCTGGGGAAGAGTGATGAGGTGGGAGTCAGGAAAGCACAGGCTTGGAGGGAAATAAAACTTTTATATGGTTAGGACACATGGGGCAGAGCACTGCCCAGGAGCAAACAGCAAAAGGAGAAACAGCCCACTTCTGTGCACACAGGCTCTTTTCTCTCTGTCTTATTTTGTTAATTACATCTCAGTCATAGGCCCCTCCCTCTTTTCCTCCTGGTCCCACCCTTCCTCCCTCATCCCCCTCCCCTATTCCTCAGACCCCCTTCCCAGACACCCCAGCTCATCTATTCACATGAGGACTGAGTGTCTTCCTCCCCTGTGACCTGGTAGGGAAGTCCCATCAGGGCTGTAACTCAATTGTATCATGTACCTTTTTTGTACCTTTCTGAGCAGGTACAAAATCCCGAGTTCAGTCTCCAATACTGCCAAAAATAAAAGATGTGACAAGACTCCCAGTGGACAGAGGAGTCACCAACCCACCCAC